ATTCTAGTTTTTGAAGTTTTTCCCTAATATAGGGGGCAGATTGGGTAATGAAGTGCATATTAAGTGTTCTCAGGGGTGAGAGTAGAAGTAAAGGTGACATTTAAGTAAGTCACTCCAGGTGAGACTATAGGACTGGGTTAAGTGTTGGAGGATCTGATAAAAAGGAGCCTAACTGTTGGCCGATTGGGAAAGATTGGATAAAGAGAAAGGAAAGTGTACCCTAACTGTGCCTTTGGCTCCAGCCACCTCTCAAAGGGAGAGTTGTTGGGCAGGGACAGAGGAGGTAGTCACGGGACTAAACTGTAAGTCTGATCGCTTTTGAGGTGGGGAGGTGACAGGAGGGGCATAAGGAGGTGGGTTGTGGGCAGAGGAAGAGGAGGAAGGCTGAGGGGGTGGGTTAGATCCTGGATTAGGGCCTGGTTTGGGCAGCCGGGGAGGAGAAAGGTTGGACGGGTCAATGGACAGGAGGATTTTGGGTCACCAGCAGAGGCAGGAGGGACAGACAAAAGAGAGAGAAGGAGCAGAGATTAGGGAGGTATTGGAGTGTAATAAAAATGCCTGGACTAGGGAATTTGAGACCATTTGCCCATTTTACCAAATAAGTTGTCTAGATCCTACAGCACAAAAAAATCGAAGGTACCATTTTCTGGCCATTTAGAGCCATTGCCCAATTTATATTGTGGCCAACCAGTACTGCAAAAGAAAATAAGATACTTATGTTTTAGTTCACGTAATAGCTGGAGAGGCTTGAGGTTTTTCAGAATGCAGAGTAAGGGACAGGAGGGAGGCGTGGAGGGCGGGAGATTGCCCACAGTTTAAGAAGAGTGGCGGATACAAAGAAAGTGACTGCATGACTAAGCAGCTTAGCAGGCGTCCCAGACTAAACTTTGGTCTGATTCATCACCTGTGAGTGCCAGTGACCGAAGTAGATGTCTCCACAATGATCAGTCTGTCTTTCAAGTTCTGTGACCTACACAGGATTTTTTCCAATCATGATCCTCACGAACAGTCCTGTCTTTCTTGTCTCTGCTGAAAGGAAGAGAAAAATGAAACTGATAGGAGAATGAAGCTGGCAGGTAGCGAGAAGGGCTAAAGAGAAGGGTTGAGGCAAACTGCTTACCCAATTTGAGGATGGTGAGTGGGTCTGTGGCTGGTCTGATGAACCCACGTCATAGGTAGTTCTCTTCATGGAGGCAGCACAAGGAGAACAGGACCAGGGAGTTTGGTCTCCCGTAGGAGTTCCCTCGTCCTGGGTTTCAGCACCAAATGTTAAAACGTGAGCTGAATGAAGAGACCCCTCCAAACATGCTTCGTGTGAGGAACATGGTTGTTTATTCACCTGGGTGTGGGCAAGCCGAGCCTGAAAAGAGAGTCAGTGGAGGGCAGAGGGATAGAAGAATGGAAAGTTACAGAAGTAACTTTAGGGTGATGTTTTGCAAGCTGGGAGAGGGTCATAGGGTGTGGAGTCATGAGTTTGACCAAGGTCGGTTACCAAGTCCAATGGCCTTATCAGTTGGGGCAGGAATAAGGAACAATAGAGAATGTCTTAAAGTTAAGCAGACACAGGGGTTGATCATTTCTTCCTCTTTTCATGGTCTTCCAGTTACTCTAGATTTTCCAGGAACTCATATGGAGCATCCATGCAGGTCACAGAGGCTAACATGGCGTCCATGGGGCCATATGGTCTAAAAGACCTTACAGCTGAGCCAGCTAGTCCAGGAATTATGCTTCAAGAACCAGTGCCCTTGAGTTTTAGTATAGATCTCAAAGAGGTGGGAAATATCTTGGGTATAGGACAATAGCACATCCCTTTTGCAGGATAGCTACTATGGATGGAAGATCTTTAGAAACTTGGATTTTAAGAGAGATTTTGAACTATGCAAATCTCATTAACCACTCAGTGCCAAATATTCTGTATCTTTTAGGGGAGGCAAAGCCAAGTAAGAAAACCCTTTCATTTCCGCTTTTCATTAGAGGGCTTCTTTTAGTTTTTCTTAAACTTTACCTGGTAGAAAATGACATTAATTTTAGGTAAATTAAAACTTCACATATCTCAAATGAAGCCTTGAGATTTTTTTTAGTATTAATAATCCCATGGTTTAACATTTAAAAGTCTCTAGATACAGACAAATAGAATTCCACAGTTACAGGTATCAACTTGTTGCACACTGACAATCACATTTTTAAAATTTTGAAATCCTATGTATTCTCAGGCAAATGCAGACCACAGGAAAACCACACTTGTCTTTCATTGTTTTTTTTTCTCTGAAGTTAGGGAATAAACAACTGCTAACTCCGTAGATTGCTTTATTAAAGGATATTTTATTTCCATAATCAAAAAATTTACTTTAAGAAGTGAATATCTTAAAATAATAAAAGACTTAGCTTTATAAAATATATATTATAAAGGTACTTCACAAATTTCTTTTAATAATGCTTCGAATACACTTAAATTTGTCTATTTAAAAGTAGTATTTTGGCTTTGGTAGTAAGGATTTGAGGTAATATATATGTGATTTTTATTTTTTATGTAAACATTATTCTTACGAAAAGTTTTGAAAAAGTATGCTAACTTAATTTTATTGGACCCTGTAAAATATGCAAGAATCTATCCATTCTTAGTAATGTTTTCTCCTGCTAGAATTCTTTATTTTCTTTTTTCCTACAAACATAGAAAGACAAATGCAGTGTCTAGTCAAATGCAACGCTCCTTAGGATTTATTAGAAAAGCAAATAAAAGAGAGTAGAAAAATGCAGCAATGTACATTGTTTGTTTCATTACTCTAATTTCATTTAGGTTTTTCAACTTGTACAGAACTTTCCTGACTAGCATACAATGAAAAGGGAGTTAGCTTTTTTGTGATAATGGAAGTATTTGGCTCTAAGACATCTATTTTGAGCATTTTCTCAATAACAGAGCATATGACATTTTGACAGTAAACATATGCATAGATGTCAAGTTTTATGAAATACTTTTAATAAACGCAGGAGAAAGCAGAAGTTCAGTAAGATTAGAAAATGCATAATGAAGCTCACTTATGAAATTACATTGATTTTCACATATGCTGGGTGTTCTCATGAGACTTTTTCACATGAATTATTTGAGATCTGAAACAAGATAAGAAAAATTTAATTGTATATCTTCCTCAATACCAATTTAATTCTAGAAAAGCCATTCGTAACTATTAACTTATTGACAATTAACTGACAATTAAGTTATATAAAATAAATCAATGAAATAAATCTTTTATTAACAAATGAAATTTGTAAGCAGTCTGATAGGGTTTCACACATTTTATCAATCATACAATTAACATTTAATTTTGGGAGTAAACAGAGAATGATTCGAATTGCCTAAGTAAACCAAAAGACAGTCAAAGTTTCTCTCAGATAAACTTCAATGATATTCTGAAAATATTTTACATAGCTAAAACTGTTTAATGCATATTTATTTCCCATACTTTCTAATATTTTTTCTAATGTTTTTAGAGTATCTTCTCTTGCTGACTGAGGTATCTACCTCTGCATATTAATTGTTACATTTTTGAATGTAGGTACAAATTGTTCTTGGAGCAATTACAAATCATTAGCTGAAATTTAACTTACATATGTTTGTTTGTCTTCATGTTTCTTTTATACTTGCTTAATTATAGAAAAGAAAATTTATATCTGAACATAAAAGTACAATTAAAGTTAAGGTTCAGTTAATGATTTTTAATTGCTCCAAGGATATTATATACATACATTCAAGAATATAACTTATTATGATAAATGTCCAAATTTATATTTTAAAATTTTAGAATTTATATTATTATCAGAGCAACCCGTACATCAGAAAACAAAAATTGCATGACCACAGAAATATTTTATAATGGTTATAAAAATTACATATTATGGACACCTTATAAAATAAAATCTGACTTATTAAAATTACTTCTTTCTTCTGATCCCATATTCAATTTCACAAGAAGTGCCTTTAATTTGGAACTGAGAATAAGAAGACTAGTCACAACATTTTTTTTAAAAAAAGCCACTCATTTTTAAAAATAGTTAACTAGTTAATAGATGTGGTTGTGTTTTTTTTTTTTCCTGGATGATAAATTTCCATACCCTTATTGTTTATAGATTTATATCGTTTGCCACAAATGACTACAAAAATACTATTTAAATATTCAGTTTCTTTTTAGATTAATAAAATATGCTATCCTATTAAAATGTTATACCTTCAAAATGATTTATGAATGTGTGTATTCATTTATTCAGCATTCCACAAATCTTTGGTAAGTGTTGCTGTAATAGATTTCAGTTTTGTAACATATATCTTCTAGTCCCTATTTCTGACTGTCTATTTTCTTAAAGTAACTATAAATTTAGACTAAGTCTTAAGTTTTAATACAGATGGTAATTCAACTTTGGACATATTCAAGGTGTTAATCTCTGTATATCAGAGTTGCAGCCTAATGCCATCAGGGCTAGTTGTCCAGATGCTTGGAAATGGCAGGTGACAGCCACAGATATGGCAAGCCTATTTCAAATTCAAGAGTGAATGTTTTTGCCAAGGTATTTATATCTTTTAAATGTTACTAGTAAACCATAATGAGCAAACAAAATATATCTGTGAGTCTAACCCATGGACCTCAGGGTTGCAATTCTTTCACGGAAATCTTCTCATGTAATCTTTATAAAATCTCTGCCCTTCACTTTTGCTGTGAGCTTGTTCTGGTCCTTATCTTTCCAATAAGCCTAGAAGTTGGAGGAACCTCATAACACATCCACATGGGCAGAGGTCTAAGGAATGAGCTCTGAAGGATCCTGAAAAAAAAAAAAAAACAATGCTGGGAGCACTGCTCTGAGGAGTACAATAGTGTAAAAGAGAAATGAGCTTATTCACCAAACTGACGACCGCACTGAAGAATACTTAAAAGTCCTTTTCAAACCACACAGGTGGAGAGAATGTAATTATCTGACACCAAAGCAAATATTTTCTAAGAACATAATTCTTCCCAAGATTCTGAAGAAAATATTTAATTCGTACATCTACAATGCAAATTCATCTTTCACTGGCCTCTGTAGCACCCAGCTCTCCCAAATGCTCTTCCATAGCACAAAAAGTAACATCAGTTTTCAAATACAAGGTGCAAGAAAGTGTACAGTACAGTCCTGAAAGGGGCAATATGCACATGCATATAAAAGAAAATTAGCAAACACAAGCTTGATTTCTAGAGAACATAGACGTTATACCAGACAAGGAGAATTTAGGGAAGTCTCATATTTATAGTACCCTTACCTATACACGATGAAGTTTACCTCCATAAACAAAAAACATTAGCAGATGCTGCTATCATTCTGCATGCAATAAACTCCTACTTATTCAGCTGTGGATGTTATGCTACTAAAAGGCACATTTATTTCTTGACACATGTCTTTGCTAATGTCCTAAATTTGGGTTCCAGGTGATCTAGAAACTCCAGTCCCTCTTCTTCCTGACGATCGCTGCAGCAGCCTACTGAGCCGGCCAGAGAACCTTTGCCTTCATAGTTATACGAACGAACGTAGTCTTCACAATGTTTATGCTCCTCGTCTTGTCCACACAAATACACCTTCTGTATCAAAAAAGAGCACATTTTATTATTTTTTAAAAAACACCTAAATATATTAGCAGAAAAATGATGTCTTTGATTTACCTTTTACTGTTTAATTTTTAATCAGAGTGTGTCCTCTAATGGATTCCTATATATAAAAAATGCACAGGATTGGTCTGTATTATATTCACTCTTCAAATATAGCAAATAAATAAATGCTTCTAGTGAGTACATTTATAAAAATTAAGACTACGCATATATTACACAACTAATTTATTATTTCCCATTTGCACATAAGACATGTATATTTGAAATTTTCCTTTGTAGCTTCTTCACATATTTGAGGAAAACGAATATAGGCTATGATTCTTATGTTTATACACTACTATATAACTGTAATCGTGTAATACAGTAAACTGGCTAATATCAAACCTATACTGATTAATTTGAATATAAAACAAAACAAGGAACTAAGACTCAAAAGCTCAACAATGTCTCTGGTTGATTTTGATAGCCAGGACTTTATAACCACACAAAGAACTCAAGCACACTGAGAAATGTTTATAATTTATGATCCATTCATTCATCTGTAATAAATAATTCATTCCAGGTAGTTTTTCTTTTAATTTTTAGGGAAGAGGCTATCAACATTTTATCCTTTGTAAACACATCTACATATGACACTTTTAGATAAAGTTTTGTGAACTGTATTTTAAAAGGTGAATTTTCAAAGATAATTTTTTTTTTCCTTTGGGTTTAAACCAGACATTCACATCTATGATAATTCAACCTTTAAAACATGTTGAATTTCACGCAGATGAGGGTAAAACTTTTGGGAAATTCTGATTTATAACTAGCATTTAACTTCCATTTAATAGGACCTCGAAGACAGTGGAACTTACTTCACCAAGTCGAGGTTGGGTGAAACTCTGCCAGTCCGTGTACGTGTATCTGCCCGCATCTCCCTGCCCCACTCCCTTGACGGACTCCAAAGTCTGATGTCCACCTCCTTTGTTGGAATCCAAAGTGTAACCTCCTTTGACCATCTCAAAACTTTGCTGTGTTTTGATTCCCTGGCCACCAACAGTACCGACAGACATGCTTGTGTCACAAATGTTGGCGGTCTGCATGGGGAGTCTAATATTTGCTTCCTAAAAGAAAAGTTAAAGTGATAAAGTGAATTTTAAAAATGGAATCTCACAATTCGTTTTCATTTTTTTTCCACCATAAGCAAATCACTTGCCTGCTGTGCCTCTCTGTTCCTCATACATAAAATCAGAAGAAGAGTATCATAGGTGTGATGAGTTGCACTGAGTCCCCTAAAAATTCATATGTCCTAACCCTCAGTAACTCAGAATGTGAACTTATTTGGAAATAGGGTCATTGTAGATATAATTAGTTAAGATGAGGTTTTATGGGATTAGGGTGCGTCCCTAAGCTAATATGACCAATATCCTTATAAAGGGGAGGAATTTGGATGCAGACATGCACACAGGAAGAATGCCATGTAAAGATTTGATTTACGCTGTCATAACCCAGGAAATTGCCAGAAGCTAGGAGACAATCCCGGAACAGATCCCATTCGCAGTTCCTTCAGAGGGAGCATGGACCTGCCAACACCTTGATCTCTGATTTCTAGTCTCCAGATCTGTGAAACAATACTTTTCTATTGTTTAAGTCATTCCGTTTGTTGTGACAGCCGTAGCCCTGTAGAATTGGGAGTTTTCAATGATTTAAAAACATTGAGGCCACTTGAAATTCTGCTTAGCTTAGTAAGTGCTCAATAAACATAAGTGATATTATCATTGACATTGTTGTGTTATAATCTATCATTACTGATTCACCATACAATTCAAAGGAATTAAATCTGATTTACCGTTACTTCTTCTCCAGGTCCTTCAGTATTTGATACGATTAAATTTTGCTGGGCTATGTCTTCTGGAAAACATTTCTTAACTGTTCTCTTAGCAGTGACACAGAAACATGTAAACAGAATACCTAAAAAAAAAAAAATTAAAATAAAACACAGACATTAAGTCATTTGATTACACGACTTTTTAAAGTTCTCTTGCATATGTTTTTAAAAAATTCATTACACAAATCGAGCTCTTTGGGTCACAAGATTTAAAAACAGAGTATTTTAAAATATATTTATACTACTTGTAGCTTAGAAAGATGAATAATAGCTCTCTTCCCATGGCCAAAATTAACTTACATGTATTTTTAATTTCCTCAACATTGAAATGGTAACTTTATCTAACTGAAATTTAAGATGGCATCATTAGTAGTTAAAACCATACAGAACATACTTAGAATAACAAAACAAAGAACATGAGGCATAAATACAAACAAGAAAGGCAAGCACATAAAATCGATGTCCAGTTTTGAAAGTGTGTGCCAACTAATACAGTGCTAAACGGAATATCCAGTTTAATCTGAAACTCAGATCAATGAATTAGGATACTGTAAAGATTATAGATTATTTGTATATTCAAATGGGTTCTTTGGAGTCAGAGAGAGACAGAGAAAGAAAAAGAAAAGGAAAGAAAGAAAGAGAGAGTGAAAAGGGCAGGCTTAATTATGTGTGGGCAGTGTTTCTATTACTTTTGCACCTCCAAATAACAGTTTGCAGAATGCAAACTGTTGTTAGCATCTTTGCATGTATTACATTTCCTCAGTGCCTCATATGACCATTTTGTACTCATGGAAGTCTTATGATGATGCTAAATCACTTCATTATGGAATAAAACTATCAGAGCAAATTTTGGAATACCTCTGCTTTCACAAATTATTTTTGTATGTATGTATCCCCTAAATAAACTTGGCTGGTTGAAGGACTATATTATTTTGTATGGAGAGAATCTTAATACTTTTATCCAGCCTCTTCCTTTTACATACAGAAAAATGAGTTCAAGAAAGAGGAAATAATGTACCCAATGTCTCACAGATAACTATTGAAGGACTAAGGCTACCACCTCTGAAACTTACTTTAAATTTAATCTGCTGTTATTGATGTGTTTCTTCTATCACTCGGAGCCCCAAGACATAAAATAGATACAATATTTTTAAAAGAACACACTTGCCAAAAGCTATTTATTAATATAAAAAACAGCCATGTTTAAAAAATATTAGGTAAAATTTCAGCTAACACATTCTAGATAATGATACTTAATATACTTACATAATAACAATACAGAACCCAACACCATAGCAAGAATAGCCCATCTTCCAAGTATTACATTTGGTCTAACGTCTCTTAGATTTTTAGCAGGCAGGTTACACTCAGATGAAACTGAACAGTCACATACTCTCACTGATAACATATGTGTTGCAAGTAAACCATGTCTGTCTTTTATCTCGATAGGCACAACATAACTGTTATAATCTAGATTTTGCCGTTGACGAAGAATGGCAGTTTTACCTAGGGGAAAAAAAAACAGAAAATATATACAATATTATTCTACTTGATATTCTTAGTGGGCAGGAATCAATTTAGAATAAAAACTCTAATTTTTCATTTTCTTAAAAAAATTTTGATTTCCCAGAAGAGCCAGAAAAATAATTGATGTAGCTTTATGCTGATATTAAACTAACCTACACTTACCATATTACTCAAATGTTAATTTAAATGGGACTTATATGATTTCTTAAAAGACATTCAGAACAAGAGTCTAAGCTTACCATAATGACATTAATTTTTTTTAATAAACAAATTATTGTTGTTTTCAGGATCAATAAAATAATTTCCTAAAATGAATATGTATTTGTTATGATAAACTAAGGTGAAAGGACCATTACCCATCTGAAATCCCTGTTGATTATAAAATTTAGCATAATTACATACCATCCTTTTCTTCTATAACCCAGTTTTTGCTTGCAGAATTAACCAGACGGAATTGAAAAGGTGGTCCATTTTCAGGCCAATCTGGATCTACAGGTGCCAGAACAGCGAAATCCTCATTATTCTGACAAATGGTCACTTCTTTATTAATTTGTGGTGGATGATCATTTTTATCAGTCAAATAAACTACTAATGTTCCAGTGCAAGATCGGCCAACTAAGACAAATTAAAAATAGGTTATTTCTTCACATGAAAATGCGTTTATATTAAACAATTTATAAAACACACAGTTGACATCTGCTTTCTACTAGCTGTCTGAGCTTGAGTTTGCACACATGCTTCCTGGATAACAGACACCAAGACTACAAAATAGGGACATGTCACTGCTCCTTGAAGACCAGGGCTGGATCAGATAATTTCTTCAGGTGCTTTTCAAAACTAAATGGTATGGGATTATGAGGAAGGTCACCAAAAAATAACCTGTTGAAAATAAAATTGATGTCTTACATCCTTCTTTGTGAGGAGCATCTATTCATCCTTAGAATACAAACACTTTATGTTTGGTTATCAATCACTTTCTCAGCTTCTCCGTCATATCATATACTTTTTGCCCAAACCTTGAAAACTTCTCTAGAAACGCACTAGGTGTTCTCTTTCCTGTCTGCTTTGTAGCATTTGGTTGCCACTCCTAGGAATACTTTTCTCCTCTTCTTTGCCAGGTAAAATACTATTATCTTCAAGAATCTACTCAAATGTCACCTCCTCATAAAATCTGTGACTTCCACAGACAATGGTAGCCATATTCCAGTATTTTCTCAGAACTCTTTGCTAATACCTTGGTTCACACACTAAACTGCAAACATGTTAATAACACAGTAAGTTGTATTCACCTTGAGAGCCTGGGGATTAGCCCAGTATTTCCCAGCTCACTATAACTTTATCCTAACACACTGAACATAATGCAGTTCCTAGTTTTATACTTGAAAACATTTAATTGAATACGCCAGAAAAGTAAGTTTTCATCTCTGCCCTAATGCAATTCATATGTTCTTGACAATAGGAACTGTCTTGTACTCGTCTTGTACTCATCTGCTGATTGCCACTAAGACTTCACACATAGTATTTTTAGTGAAAATAGTGCCCATTATTTGTGCTTAAGAGATAATGCAGTTCAGAAACATGCCAAATTTCACCATTTGCAAAAGAACAATAAACTACACCAAATGATAAGATATCAAAATTGAAATAAACAGAAAGATAATTGATTCAGTTTTTCATGTTTTTGTTTTAAATACTGGTCCACACTTTGAAACATGTATGTTGAATTTCTCAGAAAGACTACTATAACTCCTGTGCAAATATAATTCATTTTTCTTTTTAGTTTTAAATACTCTAAGTCATATCATGTAGTATATTTCAGGAAAATTGTTTTCTGTTGAATAACTACATAATTAACTTATTCAGTGACTTTTAAACTAACTGTTTATGTAAAGTAATCACTATTTATGCCTATTTTAAAACTATCTGAACATGTTTAAAAATATTTAGAAATAAAAAAGAGATGTAGCTATAAGAAGAATAAATGTGCAATAGCATATAAATACTTTAAGACTGCCAGAAAATAGCAAATAAAGTTGAATATAAGTAACAACTTTAAAATCAGCAAACTATAACGTGGAAAAGAGGTCTTTATAAAGTAAAAAATTTAGTTACATACACTACACACGAGTTGACGTATGTACTATAATTTCACTTTTAAAATTTAAGCAGAAAACCTTTCTCTTTATGGAAAAATAGTGAGAAACCACACTTTAAAAATCCAATAAAAATGTGGTAATTATGGGAATGAAAATTAAGCATCATTTAATCACACATTCAACCAACATTTATCCCATAACTTATTATTTTCCATTCCAGTCTCTGTTTTAAGCATGTTGATAAAAATAGAATGAAAGATGTCTGAAATTATTTACATGGAAGGCAATCAAAGCCACAGCTGAGAAGGTCTTAGAACAGGGGTGTCCAATCTTTTGGCTTCCCTGGGCTACACTGAAAAAAGGAGAATTGTCTTGGGCCACATATAAAATACACAACCACCAATGATAACTGATGAGCTAAAAAAAGATTTATTGCAAGCAAATCTCATAATGTTTTAAGAATGTTTGTGAATTTTTGTTGGGCCTCATTCAAAGCCCTGCTGTGCTGCATGCTGCCTGCAGGCCACAGGTTGGACAAACTTGTCTTAGAAGACATCAAAAATTACAAGAGGTTAATGGTAAGCTTTTATTTTACCCCTGGGAAGAGGTAAACAGCCAAAAATAAGCAAATACTGATAACAGCTGAGCATGGTGAAAGATCATTGGGTATGTTTATCTACTTCTAAACCTTACTTTAAATTAAGCATATAAGCAAATGTCTAGTGTAAATGAGTAAGAAACATTGCAATCACAGAGCTAGAAAGTACGCATTGGATTAACTAAAAATCTTCATAACATGTCAACGGCAATGCTGAAAAGCAGTAGTTTTTTACTGCTACTCAAATGTTTCAATCACTAGAATCACTGCATTATAAATCAGCCTACTCCATAAAATTTAAAATTAATGGTTAAAATATTTAAATTTTTTCTTATTAAGCTACAATATAGCCCCCTAATAATTTCCTGCAATTTGTTCATGTTCTTTTTGGACAATTTGTTCGTGTTCTTACATGCAAAATGTTTACCACTTCTACATGACAACTTAATATATTTGTTCTCTTAAGAAAATCCTTTTTACAGAAGCAAAAAATAAAGGAGCATTTAGTAAATGTTTGATCTCAATTTTCTACATTAAAACCAGTTTTTCCAAGTGCTAACTATGCCCCTAGAATTGCAAAGCTCTTTGTAGTGAAATTTATAATCTGGAGATTCATAGACCTCTCGAACAACAAAGGAATGACAAATATCAGCACCTGCATTGTGTATATGTGTGCCAAATTTTCTGCCAGACACTTAAAAACAGATGGTTTACCAAAGAAAAAGGGTCCTTATACAAAACCGAACTCATAATTAATCTAGTTAGGGGAACAGAATATACATGAGAAACAATGAAAGCAGCCTTTTCTACAGAAGTTACGCCATATGCGATAACTGTTATTCCCAGTTCAAAGGGTATTTAGAGAAGAACTGAATCAAGACTAATGGAAACAATAATAAAAGCTGTCATTGTCATTTATTTGAACAAATTATGGGACCTGAATTTCAGACAGGAGGAGCAATGCTACTCTAGATGGAAGGTATGTAAAAGCGCTGTCTAGACTGAGCAGGGACATCAGCCTGACTGACAAAGGATTGACACGAGAAAGTACGTTGGAGTCTAAGAAAGCTAGAATACCTAGATCATCATCCAGAAATATTCGTGAGCATCAGAGCAAAATGTGTGTGTGTGCGCGTGCGTGTGTGTCTTAAAGTTTGAAGAAACAAAATCCTTCACATCACTCTACGGTTTTTCATTAAAGTTTGTAACAGCCTTATCTATACTTTTTCTTAAGCACACCCCAGATACCTATGGCTCTGGAACATAGATTTGTTCAAGTTTGCCTTTTATTTTCTTACGCTATGATCGCTGTGCCCGCGGACGTGGTCTTTTAGCACCAAAAGACAAAGTTAATTTTTAAATATTTCATTCTCCATTATTTTCTCCTCTCTAAATAGTATTTTATTTTTAAAAAATTAGGCCTCTGCATTTCTGTAATCTCTTCTCTTTCATCCTTTAACCTGAACAGCTCTTAACTGATCTCCACTTCTGATAATATCCATACATTCTTTATGAGGAAAGTTCTCACACCATAGAATCTCTTGTGAAAATATAATAATTCTATAATTGATATCATGTGAGAATTTGGTCTTATCTTAACATTCTTAATTTCCATGGCAACATGTCTAATACTTTGAACTTAACAGACAAACCAACAGTTGGGAAATAAATGAGTAAATATAAGCTCTCCTTTGCCAGCATAGAAAAAAGTAGGGGTATAATATCTGAGAATGCATTGTTTGCATTTTGTTATAAAAAATCAAAACAAATAAACAGGCATGAACATTTTCACTACTGCCAACTTGTGTTAATTACCATGAAATTGGATATGTATTTATTAATACGTTCACCCATTCCTTCTAAAGAAATGCAATAGACACAGAAAAAAAGCCTATAGCATTGCTGTATCAGCTAGCTTGTTTCAAACATCCAGCATATGCGGATTAAAAAAGTGGAAACTTTCTGGGATTAGGCAGGTAGTCAAAAGAATAGGCTATGTTATAGAAGCCCAAGTTAATTTATCTTTATTATTTATGGCAGTTTGCCAAAATTTATGGTAAATTTGTCATCAATGTGATAAAATGAAATAGTGTAACTGATACTTACATTCTTATCATCCTCTTTTAATATCTTTTGTGTATTTTTATGATGTATACATTAGCACAGTAGTACATGTATATAATATATATGACAGCAAACACTTAAAAACATTTATAAATATATATTTAAACATACTAACAAGTGGTTTACTGACAGAAATTTGTATGTTCAAAAGAATTTCTAGGTCACGACTTTACTATATTTGGAGGACATTCTTTACAGAATTGATTCCAAAATTGACCTTGGTAAAAGACTGCAAACCACCACAAAAGACTTAAGTCATTATTTGACTATTCCTCCATAAAACAGATAACTTATTTGTTCTCCATTAAGAGAAGCTCAGAAGAAATTTAGTTTGAACGCAACTGTTTGAGGTGTGTTGAACCCTATCAGCAAGTTCAAATCATAATGTATCTAAACCTGCACTTCTGAAAAAAAAAAAAAAAAAGGTGATCCTAGTATGCCACCACTGCCTTAGCAGAAATTAATAATATAGATTGTCTTTGAAAGCTTAGATTTTAATTGTGATGTAATTACATTTAAATTTACTATGATATAATTAAGCCTTAGACTTTGGCCATTCCCTACCACATAGTTTTGCATTACAGATGCACTGGAGTTTAAACTGGGTGTTTTCCAATAACATCAACAATAATAATGCAAACATTGTTTGAATTATATTTTGTCTAGAAATAAACAGATTTCACCCCAAGATTTCCTTAAAAACGTATCCTATATTTATATTTTATTTGCAGAAAATGGCACTTACCTGCATCCACTGCCACAACTGAAATATTGTATTGGTCGTTTTTTACAAATTTGGATTCTCTGTCTAGTACTTTTACAGTTCTCAAGTCACCAGTGTGTTCATTAATTTCAAACCAGTTATCTTCATCCCCTAACTTCCTGTACCTAATTTTTAGAAATCAAATATAAATGGTCAAATCAGAAAAGGGACATCATCTTAAAATCTGTCTTTTGAAAAATACATAAAACATTCCTAACTTTAAAATCAATTTACATCACAATTAAAATTAAGGAGCTTTTTGAAAAGTACATCACCTTAAGCCTTCACCACTTCGTGTTTCTGGGTCTAATGCTTTGTATCCAAGGAGTTCTTGGCCAGCTGGGAAGCCATCCTCACTCTGGATAACTTTCACTGGAGGGTGGCATTCCGGGCCCTCATCTCTGTCTTTAATTTTGACAGTGACAGTTGTAGTGCACATTGTAGGAGTTTGTGAGTTTGATGCTTTAGAGAATTGTGCTTCGTTAACTACACCAACTTGCAAAATGACTTGCCGATTGACTTCATAGTTCAATGGCTGTTAAATGAGCATACTTTAATAAGTCAACATGTAACACTATATATAAGACTTCTAATTTCAAATTTTTCTACAAAGGAATATCATTTTTACATTTAAAATGTAACCTAAAGTTAGGGCTAACACAGTTAAAGACTAATAATTAGCTTCTTAAAGTGACAAACATTGCCAAATGCAAAATCGTTGATTCTCAGACTCAACCCATTTTTCTTCTCGTTTTTCTTTTGGAAGATCTTGCCTTCAGCCTTTTTCATTTTAAGCTTGAATATTAATAGAAATGCAAGATAAGTGTGTGAAAAAAATCAAATTATTTCATTGCTTATTATATGGGATAACAGTGACAACTAAAGTGCCTGCAAACTAAGTATATAAAATAATTAGATAGAAATTTGGCTGTAATAGAGCAGTTACTCTGAGCCTGAGTCAAAAGATTGAATGATATTTAACGGCACCTTTTCAAAGCACGTTAGATTTCAGGCTGTTTAGTTCCTGATGAATGTATTAGACCCTTGGTATGGTTTGGCTGTGTTCTCCACCTAAATCCCAACTTGAATTTTATCTCCCAGAATTCCCACCTGTTGTGGGAGGGACCTAGAGAAAACTAATTGCATCATGGGGGCCAGTCTTTACTGTACTATTCTCATGATAGTGAATCAGTCTCATGAGATCTAACGGGTTTATCAGGGGTTTCCACTTCTGCTTCTGCCTCATTTTTCTCTTGCCACTGCCAGGTAAGAAGTGCCTTTCACCTCCTGCCATGATTCTGAGGCCTCTCAGCCATGTGACACTGTGAGTCCAATTAAACCTCTTTTGTTCCCAGTTTGGGGTATGTCTTTATCAGCCATGGGAAAACAAACTAATATAGCCCTAAACTGAATAATTAGAAAGAATTCTAAAACAACATTTAAATGATGAAGAAAAATCGAGGGGGAAAAACCCTAGGAACAAGAAAAGAAAAAAGCAAGAATAGACAGTACAAAAATTAAAGAATATTTTCTAAAAATCTTATCAAGAGGACACAATGTCTGCATAAACCTTCTGAGGACTTACATTCTCTCCAAGAAATGAATGAAGGAAGCTATGTAAGAAGTTAGAGAGAACTATGGATAGATGGACTAAAAAACAAAAATTAAAGTAATCATCATAGAAACCAGTAATTGCATTTAAATTTTAAAAAAATCCAAAGCAATGGCTACCTGGCATATAGGGGGATTAGTGGGGAAAGCTGCTGAATATTTAGTGAAATCGTTTCTCTTACTGAATACATCATAGAGACGTAAAAATATAATATGAACATGAAAGGAGTTGAAAAGTTGAGATTTGATTTCAAATAGTGCTTCTTCCATTTTTGTCTTTTCTGTGTTCTTATAAAATAGAAATTTGGACAACTGAGTGTCTAAGACCTCTTCTAAAGCAACTATCTGGTTCAATATTCAGTATTTCTTTGTCTTGGTTTTCTTCATACAGAGAACAATGAGTTTTGTACCTGACATGACTTTCCCCTGAGAGAGAAATTAGGGTAAGAGAATAAGAAAAAAAAGTTTATATAAATCATTTGGCCTTGCATAGCAGCATTCTAGCCATATACATAGAAGAATGATCTCTTAAAATCAGTGCATGAGTTAGGATGTTTTAAGGCATAGCCTGATTATTTTTATTTGTTTACCTTGACAACACACAATACTCCTTCATTTGTATTTGGATCTGTGCTAATTTTGAAGTTTCCATTTTCATTTCCTTGTAGGATTGTGTAAACAGCTCTTGAGTGAGGAGTGTTTGCCAAATCCTGATCCTGTACCTTCATTCGTAAAATCTCGACGTCAATTCTGTTTTCTTCTACTTCTGTAACATACTGAAAGAGCTTCCTCTTATTATTACCAATTTACAGCTTTAATGATGTGGTTTTATATTCGAAAACACATATTTAAAGAAAAAATAAATAAGGTGATGTGAAAAGGTGCACTCAATATATCGGGAAACATTTTACAAATTTAATGCATAGCTTAGTTCTTTACTCCTAAATTGCCTTTCCATATCGTTTCCATTCTTCAAACGTTATCAAAAGTCTTACCTTCTGAACGTCTCTAAGATAATTTTCCGAATCATTCTAGACTTCAGAATGTGAAATATGAAATATGAGGTCAAATATATCCTCATACATTGTAAGGATTAATGTAAAATATATGAAGATGCCTATCACTGTACTTGCAAGTTTTTCCTTCCTTTACTTGTACTCTGGTATAGATTAATGAAAAAAAATGAAAGGTTATGTATCAAAAGTTCAGGAAAGGAGAACCATTTCCTGAAACTATCATCATAAAAGTATAAATATACATATGTATACACACACACACACACACACACACACACACACACACACACATCTCATATTATTTACTGCCTAAGGAAAAGCTTGCTGATGATACAGGAAGAGCTTGTTTGGAGTTGTGAGCCAGGCTCTACTACTGTCTCCATAGGCTAGCTCCTTATTCATCTTAAGAAGCTGAAATGTAAAAGACACCAGAGAGAGTGCCTCTTCTCCTTCACCCTATAAAAACAATTTAACGACAGGGAATCTGTACTGGAACTTAACACCAAAAAAAAAAAAAAAAAAATGTTGAACACATGAGCTACATCTAAGGCTAAGCTGTTTCGTAGCCAAGAACATGGTTATTTTCCTAGCATCCAGAAATAATTGGTAATTCAATGATTTTTACAGAAATCATATTTTTCTCCCTATGTTATTTGTAAGTAGTAATCATTTAAATTAAACTATGTGATCTCACAGAGCTATCAAATTCTAGATACGTTTTTTGAAAAAGTGGATGAATCCAGATGAATGAATAGAGAGGTATACTCACAGAAGTTTCTGTGAAAGATGGTGGATTGTCATTCTCATCCTCAAGTGAAATAGTAATTGTTCCTGTATTAAATAAACCGAAAGGTTGACCACCCATGTCTCGCACTTCCATTATTAATTGGTAAGTATCACATTTCTGAAAAAAAGGAATAAGCTCATTAATGAATACTTTTATTTACTATAACTTGCAATCTCGCAACAACTGTTCAGTCATGATTATTGTACAAATATTCTTTTTGTATGAAGTTTTATTTTAAAAATCATAAATGCAAGCACAGAATAAGACATGAGCTGATCAGTACAATGGGAAGACGATATGTTTAATATAACATTTCAAAATTTAAAGCTGCTTTATTTATAATTGCCAAAACTTGAAAGCAACCAATATGTCCTTCAGTAGATAAATGGATAAATAAATTGGTACATCCAGACAATGGAATATTACTTCATGCTAAAAAGAAATGAGCTATCATGACTTAAAAAGACATGAAAAAAAAATAAATGCGTATTACTAAATGAAAGAAGCCAATCTGAAAAGGCTATATACTATATAATTCTAACTAATATTCCTGAAAATGGCAAAACTATAGAGACAGTAAAAATACCAGTGGTTGCCAGGAGTTAAGAGGGAAGAAGACATCAATAGGAAAAGCACAATAATCCTCAATAGGAGGATTTTTAGGGTAGTGAAACAACTCTGGATGATACAATAATGGTGGATGCATGTCTTTATACATTTGGTCAAACTCATAAACTATATAGCATCAAGAATGAACCACAATGTGCAAACGATGGAATTTGGGTAATAATGATGTGTGAACATAAGTTTATCGAATGCATCAAACATATGACTGTGTGGCTGGATGTTGATAGCAGGAAAGGTTAAGTGTGTGGGGGTGGGGGACAGGGAGTAGATGGGAACCGTCTGTACTTTCTATTAAATTTTGCTGTGAACCCAAAGATGCTATATGGAAGTTTATTAATTTAAAAAGTTAAGCATACTGGAGTCAGATAAAAATATTTTTTTAAAACAAAAATAAAATAAATGTAAAACAATTTAATCATCAACAGATCAAATCAGGTTAATGATCTGAAGTGAGACCCTATCTAAGGTATGGTAATTTCCCAGCATCTCTGCGAAGGACAGAGAATGTCTCCAGGGAAGCCCTAACCACAGCCTACAGCAGCATGCTGAGAAAGGAGGCCAGAGCGGCCATATTGCAACTTCTCTTGGGAGTTCTCAGTCTAAGTGTAGTTTAATGACTGGAAAGTTAATTAATCATCATTACTTCTCTATCCAGTAAAGGTGTAGTTGTGGTGATGACACCGGTGTCTGGATGTATGGAGAAATGCTTTGGATGATCTGGGATTTGTTGTAAGATTTTATATTTCAGACGAGTATGGAGAGTGTCAGGTTCGTCAAGGTCTATGGCGGTCACTTGTCCCACTGAAGTTCCTGTTAAGATAAATTCAAAACTGTCAAAAAATTCTACTTATAAAATGGAAATATAAACAAAATAAAATCAAGGCATTGCTGTAGCAAATTCTCCCCAAGTTGAGAAAGGTGAAACTGTTCTCGAAAATGTCTTCAAATCTCCCTTACTCGGGAACTTCAATTAGTTGGCTCCTGTGAATAACCTGATTTGTATTCTACATATGTGAAAACAGTTCCCACACTACCTTTAGAAACAGTAGTTCTGAAATTCTTTCTTTCTACGTTCATGAACTATTTTTAAATTTAACTTAATTTAATTTTAGATTTGAGGATACATATGCAGGTTTGTCTATTAAAAAATATTCCTTGGCACCATAAAATAGACATTCCTGTATATATTGTTACATCACTCTTTTTGGAGTATTTTCCTTGCTTCAAAGAAAAAGTGGGATTTTTCCTATATTTAGGTTTCTCCATATCCATAGAATAATGACAATTCAAAAAAACACTGAATGAATGATGAAAAAAATAACATCTTATTTTGCTGGAAAAAAAAAATGATCCCTGGTTCACTCATAACTCCCCTGTAATATTCTGTATGGATTTCTGGGTACAGTCTGTTTCACACTGAACAATGACGTTTCCCAAGGACAAAACTGAGCAACAGTTCCTTCACTCCAGACTTTCCAAGTATGCATTCGTAAACCAAACACCAGCTTCAGCAAAAACTCCACCTTGAGGAGAACTGAGTGAAATAAATGCTGCCAGAATTATAAAATCGTGATAGAAAAGGGAAAAAATGTGTGATATTTTATCTTATGAATATGCTTACATTTAAGAAAATTTGCTCAGTCATTTATGACCCTTAACAGCAATGTCATGTAACATCAATTCCTAATGGGGAAAAAAAGTTTGTGTAATCAGAAATACCAGAAAAAGGATAAAATGCAATGATAAAAGGTAAACATCTTTTATACTTATGACGTGTCAAATAATCTTCTTTATCATGCTACTATAAAATGTGAACTTACCGGTTCGGCAATTTTCAGGTATAGTAAAGACAGTCAATTTGTTTTCAAAATATGGGGCATTATCATTATCATCTTCAATTTTGATGATCAAGGGCAGTGGATATTCTGGTGCATAGCCATCTGCGGTCGTTGCATAGCCATATAGCTGAAAGAAAGAAAAGTACTCTCAATGTATTCTCAAATGACAAATTATGCACAAAAGTAAGCCTAGCAGTGGGGGGAAATGTAACATTGAAAAAAATCATCCCCAAAGATCCGTAAATAAGAAGTGATGCAATGGAGAGAGAACACACAGATGCAGTCTCTCTGCCTGCCATGTGGTTTCAATCCCCTCTCGTTGCTATTTCTCATTATTCCCACAGTCTAAGCACCATGTACTCCAGGTGTTCTCTGAATTAACTGTACACCGTTTCACTTGTTAGAATGCATGTGGGTTTCCCCCAGTTATGTTATCAACAAGTATTTTTAAAGTTCCTAAAAATACAATTCTATTTATGTCTAGATTTATGTACACATATATATGCAAATAAAAACACATCACAACTCTTTCAGGATAATTCAGTTCTAAGTACTTTACCTATATTTTCTCATTTTTCTATAGTAAGCATGTATTTCTTCACAATAAAAATGTTAATAAAAGCATATACATATGAAAAACTCCATTTCAAAATGAACACCTTGTTCCCAACAGCCAGTATTTAATCTCCTTTCCCTTTAAACTCCAAATTATTCCTGCACCCTCCTCATGTGGTTTGTGCATAGTAAATGTTCAGTAAATAGTTGTTGAATGGATTTTCATCACTCATGGGACCAACTAAACCCACTCACAGTAAATTCTGTATTAACACGTTCTTTACCACAACTCTTCTAATTTTCTCTACTGTAACCATTTCTAAATGAAATAGGATTAAAATTCCAGGCATTAAATTCTTCTCTCCCTCTCATGAGCCTTAGCAGTCAGTTGCTGAGTTCTAGAGATTATGGCATTTGTGTATCTCTCATGCATGTTCTCTTTTCTATTCTCACTGCTCTCATCTTCATGTGACTCCAAATGCAGTCTACATGTTGACTCACTAACTTTGCTGCAGTTATTCTGACATTCCCTGTTCCTACTTATGTAGCCTCAGAAGTCTAATTTTATTTTCATAAAGCACAATTTTAATTATGATACTCCTTAATCAGACTCATCTATGACTTACCCACTGGCTGCTAAAGTAACCACAAAATCCTAATCATTGTGTTAAAAGGCAACATTTCATGTTCACTGATCATGCTAACCTGGAGAGGAAAGAATTTACACTCCAAACTCTGGAATAGAATGTATTAAAATAGTCATCTGTGTTCTCTCTGCCCTCTTAATCACTTTTCCCCAAATAACTTCCAGGTGGTATTTTTCAGTAATAAAACTTATATTATGACTTCCATCAGTCTGATTTCTATATCTTTTTTTATTATTAATTCTAAATTCAGGGGAGGAATGCAGTAATATATCATTACCACCTCACCATATCACCACGACCACCACCATCATCATCACCACTACCACCAGCATCACCACCACCACCACTACTACCACCACCACAAGCACCACCACCACCACAAGCACCACCATCATCACCACACTACCATCGCCACCATTATCATCATGATCATCACCACTACCACTGCCACCACCGCCACCACCACCACCATCATCATTATCAATACTATTACCATCACCACCACCACCACCACTACCATCATTACTACCACCATCAGAAGCAGCAACATCATCACCACACTACCTTCACTACCCCACCACCATCATCATCATTATCACCACTACCACTACCACCACCATCATCACCATCATCATCACCACACTACCATCACCACCGTTCCCACCATTATCATGATCCTCACCACTACCACCACCACCATCGTCATCACTACTATTACCATCACCACCATCATTGTCACTGTTACTACCATCACCACCACCACCACCATGACCACCACCATAAGCAGCAACAATACCATCACCACACTACCATCATTACCATCATCATTATCACTACTACCACCACCACCACCACCATCACCACCACCACCATCATCACCACTGCCACTATTACCATTATTATCATCACCACCACCATCATCATCACCACTCCTGCTACCATCACCATCATCATCATTATCATCACCACTACCACTACCACCACCATCACCACCACCAGCACCATCATCACCACTACCACTATCACCATTACCACCACCACCATCACCATTACCACCACATCAACATAACCACCACTGCCATCATCATCACCACCACTGCCATCACCACTACCATCATCAGCACTACCACTACCACTATTATCACCACCATCATCATCATCACAACCAGCACATCCAGATGTCAACACTACTCACCCTTCCTAACAATCCTTTCCTTTCTCTTCATATAGATGATGTGAATTTTTATTCCTTAAAATGCTGCCATTTTGTGATATTGGCTGGATAAAACTATAAAGTTGTAACTTATTTTTAATTATAAACTATGCTCTCCTTTTTCCTCTGGCAATGACCACAGTAAGAAGCAAAGATAGAAAGCAGGTTGGCAAACAGAATCCTATCAAATAATTCCTCAGCAAAATTGAAAATGAAGTGGACATTGCAACATACAGAGTAGGTAGCTTTTTATTTCTCCTCAAGAGTGACTTCTAGTGTAAGATCTTTTCTCTAATAAGAAACTGCAAAAATGGCAGAGAACTTAGATACTTTCTATCAATTATTCATTTGTTAATGAGTAGAAAGTTCAAAATGACTGCAATGATGCTTAGCTTACTGCTCTTGTAAGAACTTGCATACACTATTTTTAAAAGTAAAAATGTGTCACATTATTATAAGTGAAGTATGTTTATTCTAGAGAAATTGGAAGATAACATAAAATTATAAAGAAAATATGCCATTATAATCCCACCATTAATTAATTTTGTATTTAATAATGAAACATCTAAAGTGGAACATTTATATATATATATATATATGTATATGTATATATATATATACACACACACACGTGTATATATATATACAATATGTACATATGTATGTGTGTGTATATACATATATATATATATATATATATATATAGTTTCAAAATTTTGACTATCTTATAGAGTGCTTGGAGAATGTCCTTAGACTGGAATCTAATCTCTTTAGGATGAATTCTAAGGTCTTTCCCTCTCTGGTTTTTATTTACATCCCTAGCTTCATATTTCACATTCTTCCTTAGCTTCAAACTACACTCCAACCAGGGTTTGATGTTGTTTTTGATTTCTTTTTAACTAGTAAATATTTCCATTGCTGATGAATCCGCCTGGAACACGCATCTACCACTTCCCCTCCCCACAATTGTTAACTTCTTTCATAGCTGCCTTGAGGTGGCCACCAGCTACTACTCATTCTCCAGATGTCTGCTAAGATATTACTCTCTGAACTGCACAGGTATGAGATAAGGTTTGTTTTTTTTTTTAATATGCTCCTTTAGCAAAGAACTTTGTTATATTCTTTTACAATTCAAGACAGTGAGTGTTTAATTAATTTTATTCACCACCATTCCAAAAGCCCACTATAAATTTCATGTTTCATCAGATGAAACACAAGAACACCAAAGAATTATATAAAATTAACAGAAACAAAATAATTTAATTATCAGAAGAATTAGAATTGTCTTGTCTTTGGGTAGGATAAGATAGAATCAAATGAGCAGGTAAATTTGTTCTGGGTTACCAACAAAGTAAAATGGGTACTAAGGGATCTCAGTGCTGAAGAATAGTGAAAGAAAAGAAGAACACACACACACACACACACACACACACACACACATACACACAAAGCTATGTAAGGGGCTAAAGAAGTGGATGCAACACTTACACATTTAAGATCACCTTGGATGACTGGGTCCCATCCCAGACCAATTAAATCAGAATATCTGGGCATGCGTCCAAGCATCAGTATTTTTTCTCAAGTTCTCACGTGACTTAAAATGTACAGCCAGGCTTGAGAATAATTAAGCTCTTTCATTATAGATAACTTTAAACTCAGTGAAACTCTTTGTCATTTCTCTGGGATTACAGACTGAAATATGTCCTTTAAAATTCTATCATTATATTTTCTATACCTCCTCCCACTCTACTTCTCTTATTATATCTACTGTTTTTCCTCATCAATGATAAACAGAAATTTAAAGTTTATATTGTGTATTAATATCTTAAATATTAAATCAAATAATTTATTATAATATGTGAACAAGCATAATTGAAAATGTTAATAAGCCAGTAATAAAGGTATAATTCTGAAGAAATATTTTAATAATCCTACCGCAAACTGTTGATATTGCTCACGGTCAATGCTTCTCGTACAAAAGATATCCCCAGTGTCTCTCTCTATGTAAAACAAGTTGTACGGTTCTTTGTCCACGCCTGGTCCACTTATGGAATAAAAGATGGTGTAATTCTGCGCAGTGTCAGATTGGATCTGCAGTAATAATTCAGGAATAGAACAAATATGTCATGATAAATATTTTCAACCTAACCTCTTGTGATGATTCATTCTTGATCACTAGTCCTCTTTCCTACTCTCCTATTCTTTCTTTCTTCTGCTTATGTGTCCATTATCTCCCATGTTTTCCAAATTTTTATTTGCATTTTGCATTGTGCAAAGTCACAAATTGTGCCACTTATTTGATCTCAAGGTTTTTATCATTTGCATATCTATGACATCTGTAGAGTAATACACCTTTTCAATTCTTATTTACTTATTCTTATCTTCATGTAAATAACAGTAACAGTTTCAGTGATTTTAAATTCTTTGGAAATAAATATTATGTGATAAATAAAACTAGAAATAATGCAACGTTTCTTCCACAATTAATTCTTCAAAAATTACAAAATTTTGGCTGGGCGCAGTGGCTCACGCTTGTAATCCCAACACTTTGGGAGGCCTAGGCAGGCAAATCACCTGAGGTCAGGAGTTCAAGACCAGTCTAGCCAACATGATGCAACCCCATCTCTACCAAACATGCAAAAATTAGTCGGGCATGGTGGTGGGTGCCTGTAATCCCAGCTACTTGGGAGGGTGAGCAAGAGAACTGCTTGAACCAAGGAGGTGAAGGTTGCAGTGAGCCGAGTTCATGCCACTGCACTCTAAAATTTCAAAACTGTTCTATGTTTGCATTCCAGCTATGTGGCAGTGAGGCTTACTTAGCAAGCAGAAATACAGGCCATATTTATAAAAAACAAGTGTTAGTTTAAGCGAGAGTTGAACTATGCAAAACATGTAGGTGTGCCTTCTGTACATTAGTGTTAACAAGTCTAGCATAATATTTGGGTGAATTTACATGTAGACTTAAGAGATCAGAAACTCCAAATACAAAACTTATTTCTAAATTTCTAAATATATCTGTAAGAAAGTGATAAGATATACTGGGTCACTTCTATGGGATCCTAGTCCTGGTGAATGGATGATCATGATTTGTACCATTAGTTTAAGGCTCTGATTCACTATGCTGCGCAATTCAAATGAAAAGTTTAACAACGAAAAACTCTGATGTATATAAAAGCAAATAAGGTGAAATGCACCTGCTGAATGTGTTGTGGAAATGGCCCCAATGAGTTCTCCATCAATGAACATGGAATAGGACCCCATCGTCTCTTGCTGCGCTTGAGGGCTGTGTCTTTGGCATGTCTCTTCTTAGGAACCTACATTTGACAAGAAACAAAGGAATGTAGTATTGCTTATCATTTTTGGAACTGTGATTTTTGACACGTACATCAACAAGCAGATGTAAGGATTATACATTAGAGTATCATGGATAGTCGTCAAGGTATTTCTATTGATAACAGGCACACACACCTCAGACTGCGTTATGTTCCACTGTTCTACTTGTTTCTCTGTTTACGCAGTTAACCACCAGGAACTGTATAGAGCATCTGGAAAGATGTCACTTTGAGAATGTATAGACTCCCCACCCCCCACCCCAAGTAGATAATTAATACATATTGAGGAATCACTTTGTTCCACTAGGAATGGTACAACCAAAATCTGTTAAAACCCTTGCTATAGTACAATCATTTATACATCTCTGTAAAGAGTCGGCATTTGCTCAAGTATATTTGATTTTATGCAATGTGGGGACTCTATAATGTGGATATATAGTAACATTTTGTAAGCCTTAGGCATATTAAGAGGAGTTCTTGTAATCAAATGGAATTTAGTTGGGAAATCTGCTCATAAACGGAATCAGTTATTAACAAATGATTTTATAAGATGAAATTCATTAGGGTGAGTTTCCTAAAAATGGGATGGGAATTCCAGCATCTTTTTCCTTCCTGCTTACTGAACTGAGCTCTACCACTCACTGCAAGAAAATGAGCCTACAGTCAAACGTTCAAACCCATCCTGTGGGCTGGCTACACTTCCACTCTCTGAAGAGAGGGACTCCTTCATAGAATTTTTGAGTAAGATGGAAGTAAGCTTTAGACAATCTCTTCTCCTCTTTAAAGAGAGACTCAAACCTGCAATCAGTGGGAAGAGAGCCGCTCAGGGTGGAGCCCACATCTCCAGCCTGAATCACATTTCACTGAGTTTTAGACCCACCGCTGTCTTGCCCTTGCTCCTCAGGTTGGTTTGTTCTTATTGCCAAACCTGAAATTACTATCAGAAAACTTTGATATTCTTACTTTGCTTCCTGTCTACAGAGTCATTTATCTTTATACAAGTTTGTAAATAGTTCTGCCACTCCTTAAAAGTCTAGTTTTTATTTACATTAATTGTAATGGAAAAGACAAATTTATCATTCAGTAGCACGGGTTTTAATGTGGAAGGAGTATATAACACGAAGGACGCCCATAAGCAGATTACTGTGCAAGGTTGCTTATGCCCTTGCCTTATACCTTGTTTTCTCTTGCTGACAGTATGACTTCTATTGTTTTTTGTTCCTGTCTCTGATGGTCTGAAAGGAAAATGGAAAAACTTTTCCTTTCAGAAGACAAAATGAGGTCATGTGTTGTATAAATGGAGCCATCTTCTAGAATTCTGAAGGTAGGGTCACTGGACAGGATTAGGCTGGCCGACCTGAGACACTCCTCCAGATTCACTGCGGGGAAGAAATGTCACAGCAATTTGTCAGATGAAAAAGGAGTAGAACAAGTTTTACAGGAATGACAACCATGAGTTAGTGCATGAGAAGCAGAGAAAGGGAGGTTACATTTGGAATGTGCTCAGCACCTGCTATTCTAAAGTGTGGGGGCCATGAAGATTGAATAATTAAATTAATGGAGTCACATTTTCCATTACTTTCACCATAAGTTAATTTAAGAAGTAAAATATTTTCCTGGTGTCACTGGTTTTATTCTCTTTTCTTTGAATTCTTAATCATCTTGTGTGTGTGTGTAAACTTGTATCTCTGTACACAAACTTGACTTTTTATGTAATAAGTGGTATAACTGTATGATGTCAGTAGATTTGAACTTTTTGAAATAGTTTAATAGTTAAAACTACCTTGCCAAAAATAAGAAAACTAGGTGGCTCACACCTATAATCCCAGCATTATGGGAGGCTTAGGGAGGTGGATCACCTGAGGTCAGGAGTTCAAGACTAGCCTGGCCAACATGATGAAACTCCGTCTCTACTAAAAATACAAAAATTAGCTGAGCATGGTGGTGGGCACCTGCAATCCCAGCTACTCGAGAGGCTGAATCAGGAGAATTGCTTGAACATGGGAGGTGGAGGTTGCAGTGAGCAGAGATAGCATCACGGCATTCCAGCCTGGACAACAGAGCAAGACTTTGTCTCAAAAAAAGTAAATATATAAGTAAGAAGAAAAATAGTCTATTCTTAAGTAATATTTCCTAGTAAAATTGCAAATAATCTTTCTGTAATACCTTTTGAGGTTTAGTAAGCTCAATGCACTGTGGTCATTATCAAATTACTTCCTTTACAGATTCATATTTAACACATTCAGTGTATTTAATAATTTAAAACATTAAAAACACTGAGAAAAACAGCATCTGGCTTGAAAAGGGTACCATTTCTCTATTCAGTTTGTAATTTTTTACATGTGAACTCAAAGCCAGTGAAAAACCTTGATGAAAAAATGTTGCCTTTGTACTCAAGAACAATCAGTTTATACTTCAGAGATGTCTATGGTACCAAGACCCACCAAAACTTTGATTTTTACAAGCTATTCTGTGAAATATGTCACTATTTATTCTTGATGGATACTTGTTCATTGTAATCAGTCTTGAGTACAAATTTATTGGAGGCATTTAAATTTTGAGACATCCATTTCATGTCTAATCAATTAAAAGAATCTTGGCTTTGAAATTTTGGCAGCAGATTCATTTCTACAAATTAGAATATGCTCCTGGTTTTGGTGCCTTGCTTTGTTTAACGTAATCCAAGATAATTTAGCCTTCTGATGTTTGCTAATTTTTTGGCAAGAGAAGTATACAACTAACTTTGGTATTTTAATTATTTCTAACCACTACCAAAAAACAAGTAGCCTATCATTTATTGTATGTCCAATTTTAACATCAAGTAGCTACTACATGGCTTTTATCCCAAACTTTATAAGGGCAGCCTGAATCTAAATGTGGCAAGTTACAACTATGAAATTTTTAGTAGAGTTTCTCACCTTTGCCTACAAGTGTTTCAGCCTGAAGATGAGAAGGAACTCGAAGAGAAATTTTCTGACAAGCATCACAAAGTAATATTAAAACCTCAAAAAAAAAAAAGAAAAAAATCAGGAATTACATTTGATCACAAATTTTCACGTTACAGCTTTTTCTTATGAATAAAACTATTGCCAATTTTGGAAACAAATTAATCATTTAATGATTTAAATTTTTAATATTCACTTTAAAAGAAACCAGCAAAGAGAATAGCTTTAGGGATAACGCTGTCATTTAGTATCAATGAAAAACATAAGAGAATAGTAGTTCTTAGAACCTAACTTGTATCAATGCAAGAAAATATTTCACAAACCATTTACTTTATATAGAAGTTACACATCTCTAAGACCATTCATAAATGCCTGTCTGATTTTTAGCGTGAAGAACATACTTAACTCTGAAATGCATAATTATGTATCTGTACGAATTCTCCAATCATTATTTCTAGTTTGAAAGTATAGTTGATAGAGTCTAGAAAATAGTTAAGAATTTTTTTACCTCACAGAAAAATGCCACCCCCACTAAAATTATTGTTCTCAAATCAATTTTCAGACAGACTTGGCCAAAACTTGAAAGTCTAAATGATCTCAGATCACATGACTAGTCTAAAAACAAATATAGGTCAAAATATGGAGAGTATCTTTCAAATAGGTAAAGATTTTTAATGAAATTAAAGACCTAGCTATTGTTTTTAAAAGCTAGGCAGTTCAAAGACAAAGATGCTGTCGGAAAAACAAAAGAAAAACTATCATTTCAAAAATGTCTACAAGTTCACAACATATTTTGTTTCCTTTTCTTGGCATTTTCCATTTGTTTCTCATTATCAAAATAACTGCTTTTTTATTATTTAAATAGAAGACAGAGTAGAGCTAGATTTCCCAGAAACATGTAGGTCAATTTTATGAGCAGCTTTTCTCTGAAGATATATTTCTAGAATGATGGAACCCATTATTTGTGAGGAGGAAAGAGAATGGATTAACATCCATATTAAGGATGTGCACTTTTTTTCCAGCTCAGATCAAGTCTATAAGATAGATTGTAGCAGTCTAATTAAATAGTTTGTAATTTTATTAATCTCTGTTAGGCAGAAATCTAAAATTTAAAAGACCACATTTTATTTAGTTCTAATTTAAAAACTACTTTTTAAAACATGAGGCATTCATATGTATTTAATTTTTTTAATATGTTCATCCCTAATGCCAAGGAACATACTAAATTATACTCAAATAACTTTCTGAGCATAGACCATACTATTAGTAGTGGTCTAAATATATAATGTTGAAAGAGCATTTTGTAATTAGGGTATACATGTGTACATACATATAAACACATAAACATATATATACACATATACCTATATAAGTATATGTGTGTATGTGTGTAAATATACACACAGTCACATATTTCTTACATTCTAAGAAATGCAGCATTAAGTGATTTCATCATTTTGCAGACATCATAGAGTATATTTACATACACCTAGAATATATAGTCTACTACACACCCAGGCTTTACCTACATGGTATATGCCATGGTATATACATGCATAACCCATGGTATACATCATGGTACAGCCTAGGTGTATAGCATATAGTCCAGTCTGTTGTTCCTAAGCTACAAACCTGTACAGCATGTTCCTCTACTGAATACTGTAGGCAATTATAAGCATTTGTGTAACTAAACATTTTTAGATACAGAAACAGAATATTAAAATATAACATAAAAGGTAATAAATGGTTCACCTATACAAGGCAGCTCCAGGATAATCTATGGGACCAGTCATATACGTAGTCCATCATTGACTGAAGCATTGTTATGCAGCATATGACTGTATATGTATGTGTGCGTATATATCCAGGTGTACATGCAGATATATAAATATATGAGACATTCTCATAGGTTATATCCACACTTCTACTCCCACCGCCATCTTCTTTTCTTCCAGTCCTAGGAGTCCATGCTGATGGTCCTCCCTCTGCAGGCAGAGCCACTGAGGGTTTCCATTCATTAAATACTATTCCAGTCTTCAGGTTAAATCAATGACTAAGTGTCTTAGTGACACCCTTTTAGACAGTTTCAGGGTCAGAAATAAATGAACAGGAGATGAATTATCCAAGAGACATCAGATAGTACAGGGATCAGAAGCAAAAGAAATGTGGGTAGAATCCTTTGGAAAATTTTTACATTTTACCAAACTTGTATTAACTCAAGATGGTATCTGAGTTATCTTCTCAAGCAGTTCCAGAATGAGAAGGTGACCAACAATCCTGCATTGTATATTATTTACATGGAGGAAATGTTTGTCCCCATACATGCCATTTCTAAAAATATAATTTGAAACTAAAATATTTTGCTAAAATAAACAAAAAGGAAATTCACAGCTCAGAAATGATGGATGGATGTGTGAAATAAACCCCCTCTCTTCCCTCACCACCAAAAAAGAAATAGCACCTTATACACAGTTACAAAGCTATTAAAAACCAAGTGGAAGCCAAGTTAAGGATATTTTCAATGGCTGTCACATTTTTGTTATTTTTCTTAAACTATTCTTTGCTTAAACTGCTTCATGGGTAAAATTCAAAAAGTCCTGGATAATTTCCATGGTCACCAGAATCCTTTCTCCTTTTTTGTAGCTCAGTAGAACGCAGCATGTTAGATAACATGAGTTTAAGTAATCACTGGTAGCAAAAGTAAACCTCAGAACCTTCTGAGCCAAGTGCCTAAGGAATGAATTCATTTCTCCACTGCTTAGAAAAACACCACAGCAAGATGTAAGAGGGATTCCCTTGAAAAATTTTAATACCCTGGCAGTGGGTGCTTGAGAAGTAAGAGAAACACTTTTCATCCTGGATCCCAAGTCTGTCCACTCTTCCCTGAATCGTCCTCAGATCTGTTTTTGTTTTCCCCAATCTCTCTTCTCTGCCTCCCATCCCCACTCCTAGTCTCTTTCAAGCGCAAATTGCAGAGAGGAAGCAGGTAGTAACGTGTTTGAATTCTCTAATCCTTTGGTTGTTACTCACCAGGAGAGAGAAAAGGAGCTGCTTACAGAAGATGCTCCCTGGGGCAGCGGAGGCCACAGCCATCAGAAGCAGTCCCAATGGCCAGGGACAATGGCCAGATAACAAGGCAGCCTGGGATGCACAGGGCAGCTAAGCAGACGCTGGCACTTCGGCAGGATATTCTGCCGCCACCTTGATGCAGCTGAGCTTGGTTTGGAAGAGAGTCAGGAGGTAAGTGATAAACAGGAGGAGGAGCAACCGAAGAATTGCTTTCCCCCTATTCCCTGGCCAGTCTCCTTCCTTCCAGTTCAATTACCTCTAAATGCAAAGAGGTTTTCCCACAAGTGAGGAGGGTGGGGTACAAAACACCCCAAAACCCAGTCAGTAGCTCCTCCTCACAGCAGCTTTCAAAATTTCTCTTGCCACTTAACATATAGACAGAGGCAGGAGGGAACACCCTTCGTCCTCAGCCCTCCTCCCTTTCCCCCGCCAGGTTGATGCTGTGAAGTCCTCCCCAGTTATTACCCACTCCCAAAGCCTCCCCTCCTTCTTGGCCTTATTAACCTGTCTTGCCCCTGGGTATAAACATAAATTGTGCACAAACGCCATGCAAGGAAGTGATGCCTCCTCGACTGCCACTGGCAAATCGGAGGACCTAAGCATGTGTAATCACACTTATCAGAAGATATCTCCCATCTAAGCATTTAGGTGTTGTCGGTCCTGTAGAGCATTGTAGTTCTGCCAGAGAGCTGGCATTCCAGTTTAAAGCAGCGACTTCATAAAGGCATTGTGTGTACTTCCTGTTATCGACTATTCACTCTGGTTGGTCCTCTAGATGTCACAAGGAACTTATCAAGAGTGTAAAGACTTCATGAAAGTAAGAGAATAAAGAAATACCTAGCATATAATCTTTCTTCCAGCTTTCCTTTTGTTATACATGAAGCCATTGCTTTTTACCCTTATAATTTTTCAAGGACAACTACCATCTTTGAGACCAAGTCTCTCTAAAATCACTCCATTCACCCTAATTATTTGTACATTACATATAGGATATCCTAGCCTAATGGTACAATAAGGCTATCAAATGTAGGTGTTTTTAAACCCTAATGATTATTCTAATAAGAGCTTTAGCATCATTATTCCTATCGCAACTTAGTGAGTTCAGTGATATCAATTGCACTCAATGGCAGTGATGGAAGTTAGGAGAGGAAGATACATATTTTCAGATGTTAAGATAGAGCCCAACACCCAGGGTGCTGAGAAAGGAGGAATGACAGATTTTCTTCAGCTTATTTGACAATGGGAATAGTTGCTTCTTTATGTTGAGACAAATAATGATGTAACTGCTTCATTAGAATTAGAAGCTAGGAAGATTTGGAAAATAATAACCCATGAGAAAAAATTCAGAAGATATCTTGTAGTATTTTATTGCTAGTGGTCTACCCAGTAATAAACATATTTTGTGATTGCATTGGAATTTGATTTCTCAATCAGAAAATACATTCACTTTAATGGAATATTTTTACATCTAGCGTTTTCGGAGAAAAGAGTGGGAATATAGAAATAGAAAAATTACTTAGATGTGTATGTATGGAGCCAAGTGTAATTCTGTGCATGTTTAAGCATAATCATCTAAGTATATATTTAGATAGATAGATATACAGATATATAGATAGTCATATAGATAAATAGATAGTCACATAGCTTAAATGATTCAAAGACAAATTCTCTGACCCTACAAAGTAGAAAGACATTTTTCAGCTAATGAAGTTATCATTACCTCTTTCTATAATACGATATTCTCCACCGAACTAGGAAAATATTAAAAAGCAAAATTAAATTGGTGTTACTGAAAAAAAATGGCGTATATTTGTTGGATGAAGAGATTCCAGGCACTGCTAAATTCAAGTGCATCCAGAATACTCTCCACAGTTCTGCAAAATTGATGTCCTGATCCTAGTTCTCGTAGCCTACCTTCTGCATGCTCTTTTCCCATTATCTATCATTCTCAAAGGTAATAGAAAAGCTTGTGTAAAAGCTGTCGCTAAATCATTTGTTTGCAAATCTCTTACATTAATATTGCTCCCATATTTTGTATTTGCACACAAAATTTTTCTAAAAATAAAATATAAGCACCTTATAGGGAAAAATTCATTATTACAAATTATCGACTTACTTAAAATTGACTCTGCCTTAAAATTAAATGAAAACAAGATTTATTTCTTCTAATTTTCTGCCATCAGATTATTCAGTAAGAACTCTTAATCTGTTTTCTATTGCCATCAAGAAACACTGCAGACTGGGTAATTTAAAACACACACACACACACACACACACACACACACACACACAGAGAGAGAGAGAGAGAGAGAGAAGTTTGTTTGGCTCATGGTTCAGGACACTGCAAAGTCCAAGAGCATGGCATGGGCATCTGATGAGGGTAGTCCCATGATAGAAGGCAGAAGACAGAGCCAATGCACAAGACAAGACAGGGAAGTGGCCTAACTTACCAGTTATCAGAAGTCCACTCTCATGATAACTAACCCATTCCTGAGGGTGGAGACTTCATGGCATAATCAACTTTTAAAGATCTCACCTCTTAACATCATTATAATGGCAGCCAAATTTCAATATGAGTTTTGGCAGGAACATTCAAACCACTATAAGATCTATTTTATTTTTAGTTCTACCTGTACGTTTGTTTGTTTTAATCTATGTCTAAATTAATAGGTTTAAGTAAAAGATTGTTAATGTTGTGTGGTGGTTAAGAACTTGGACTTAGAAGCTAGAATGCCTGGGTTCAAAATCCTGGCTTTACTACTTATTAGCAATTAAACCCCTAGGCAAGTCAGTTAATTCTTCTGTGCCTCAGTCTCTTTATCTATAACATGGAGACAGTAATAGCTGCTAATTCATAGGTTATTATGAAGATTAAATGTGATATTATAAAGAAAATACTTCCAACAATGTCTGGCTCAGAGCAAGCACTAATATTTTACACTACATAATTGCCTAGGCATGCAATAAAAAATTGAAGGGACTGAACTTCAAATGAAACAAACACAAAATTATTGCAAATTCAAGGTTGCTTATGTAAAGTCTACCTAAAGATACATGAATAGGTTTACTCATTGAACACATAGCTAAGGGTTTATATATTGGGGTCTGGCCTTTGCTAGAGAGAAGCATCACATAGAGAGAAAAAAAGAAGACAGAAATATTATGATGTTAAACTACCGGGACACCTTATGGTAAAGAACATACAGTTCTGTTTCCAGTTCAAAAGACAGGATGAAAAGAGGCACTGTAGAAGAGAACAATGATTAAATGTCAAGAACAATGATTAAGAACAATGATTAAATGTCAAGAAACCCCTCTAGAAAAAAATAAATTTTATTTTAAATATGTAAATACTGCATAATCTGTTTTCTGCCACACATTTATGGTCATACAGAGAAAGATTTAAATGTAAATCTTTCATGACTCTCGCATTTATTTAGTTTTTTCTCTTTTTGGTTGAAGGTACATCAAGGAAATATACCTTTTTTATAAATTTAAATAATGTATTTTATAGAATCACAGTGACAAGTTTTAGAGATGCTTATATATGACCAACTTTCAGAAAGGGGCTCATTATGAATAAATTCAGGGCCTCAAGAAAACCATTTACAGATAGAATAATTATCTCTGTAAGACGATTCAATTTATTCTAAAAGAATCCTAGACTGGTAGGAATGCTGTACACAGTGATGAAGCCATAACAAGTCACTTTGGGTTAAATACAAATGACTAAATAACTAGAAACCAGGTGTAAAACCAGGATAAAACCAGGTGTAAAAACAAGGTTTGTGAGTTTCGTATGGGCGAAGTGTATGAACAAAGAAAAAGAAGCATTAGCTATTAAAAAATAAAAACTTGGCTCCCATGAGTTCAGTGTACTGCAGTGGAAACTCCCTCAATCTCACTAGACTCGCAGTCTTTTACCTGGATTATTAAAAATTAGAAATAACTCACGTGCACTGATAATTACTAATGATGATTTCTCAAGGCTGTTTGTATAGAATAGGGATTAATTTTATATAAAATGATCACTCCCCATTATTAGCAAAACTGTTGACAAACCTATGAAAAGAAATATTAGCACACATCTCTGGGTAGTTCAGAACTCTTTCTATTCAGCCCACACACGTAACTCAAACTGGCTTAAGAGAAAACAAAACAAAGTTGTTGAGCACAGAAGGATTTGCTAGGTCATGTAACTGGAAGGCCAAGGATAGCCTAGGGTTTAGGCATAAATTCTCTCCATCTCTCAGCTCTACCTTTCTTTGTGTTGGTTTCATTATTTAAGTTTTCCCAGTGTGGAGGCAAAGATGACCACCAGAAGCTCCAGGATTTCAACAATGACTGGTTTAGCAAGTTGTTGTTGAAAGAACATGTATTTCCCCCAATAGTGTGAAAAAACCCACAATCCTTCTGGCCTGAATCTTACATATAAACCTAAATTCAAGGGGTGGACCTGACCACATGGGCAAAAAATAGTGGAGAAGTAATTGCCCAAAGATAATGTGAGGCTAGACAGAAAAAATGTAACTAGACAAGCAGATCAACAGATGTCCACTAAACTTACTGTTTCAGATTGTTATTTCAGTAATACTAGTTAGTTGTCCAGCATTTATTAACACCGTCTCTATGCTGAGTACTACCAGTGCTGCTGATGATACAAAGCTGAAGAACACATGATATCTGCCCTCATGGAGCTTACACTTTACTATATGTTTTAACAACTAGTTAAAGTAGTTTCTATGATGGTTATTAAATGTTGATTTTAAGTATGGTAATATATACTCACTAAAGATAATCTTTTTATATACGTGTTTCCAATCTGGTTTCTGCAGATAGAATTTTTAACATCGTTATACTTGCAATGTGAATGTTAAGTTTGTAGGATGCTTTCTCCTAGTTATAATATAAAATCTGTCCCATGTCATGACAACTCTATATAGATACCATGTTAATGACTAATCAATTCCTTCAAATAACTATATCACAACTGATTTAACCAATTCATAATACTGAGCATTTAAGTTATTTCTAATTTTTCATTACTATAAAGACTAGCCTAATACATAAAGCTTTTTTTTCTGAGCTCAGGATTATCTATTAAGATGGAGTCCCACAAAATACAAGAAATGTAATGGTTTTTGGTATATAAATCAAACTTGAATCACAAAAGCAGAGTACCAATATACCTTCTTACTGTCAATGAATACAACAATAAATGACTTAGTAAGAACTGAATATTATCATTTCATTTTTAAAAATCCTGCTGTGT